CATCCTGTGTCCCTCGAGCAAGTGAGACTGAGGATGGGGAAGGGGAGGGCCTGGCCAACGTGAGTAGTACACAGATACTAGGGAGGATTTTCTGAAGGGGGTGGCCATGGACGACCCATCTTTCAACCCATGGATTCATTACTTGTTAATCCAGCAAATGTTGAATCTCAACTGTATGGCAGATACTGAGGCTGGTTTTCAGATTGTGCAGGGAATCAAACATAAAATCCCTGATCTTTTGGTAATGACATTCAGGTAAAGAAGCAGAGAGTAAACCAAAAAAGAATAAGTAACCTTTATGGCCTGTCAGATGTCAAGTGCTGTAGAGAAGATAAAAGCAGAAAGGAGAATGGAGAGTTGGGATCAGGGGTGACATTTTATTTAGGATGGTCAGGGAAGGCCTCACAGAAAAGATGAAATTTGAGGAAGGAAATGGTGATGAACCAAACCATGTGGACATCCAGGTAGAGGACCAGCCAGTTAAGTGTCCTGAGGCAGAAACAGGCTTCTGTGTCTAAGGGAAAGCAAAAAAGACAGTGTTTCTGGGACACAGTTAGTAGAGCCTGGGAAAAGCCTTAGGACCTAAGGTTAGGAAGTTGTTCCTGGATCCGGGAAGATTTGGCTGGTGGGAAGAGGATGGGAGAGAGGGTAGTTACTGAAGGTAGCATAGTTTGGACAGAGATGTGGAGGGATAAGATTGGGGTTCATCCAGCTTTGTCTTCCTCCTGTGATTGGAGAATAGATAAGGTAATTAGATACCTGCCCAGGGAAGGCTTAGAGAGAGAATGTGTGTCTAAGTGTGTAAACCAGGGATGGCTTCCTGGAAGAGGAGGTAACCAGTCTGCATGGAGAAATGGGTGGTGTATGGTAAAGGGTGTTGCAGCAGAGTAGGGATTTGGGGGCACAAGGAGTGCTGTGAGGTGCCATCAGGTAGGCCCTGTGCTGCCTCTTCATCCTCTCTTCTTCCCCATCTCTGGCCTATGCAGTACCTGATGGAAGGCAGCTACAACAAGGTGTTCCTGGCCAAGGGGAACATCCCTGCTGAGAGTTACACTTTCTTCATTGACATCCTACTTGACACTATCAGGTGTGTAGGGGGCCAGGCCCTGTGGGCTTTGGAAAGAACTTGGCTTTGAATAACTCCCTAAGTTTGAATCCTTTTCCAGCTGCTTGTTACTGAGTGGGCTGGGCATGGTTTTTTTTGTTTGTTTGTTTGTTTGTTTTCCCTGAGAGAGAGTCATGCTCTATTGCCCTGAATAGAGTGAAGTGGCATCACAGCTCACAGCAACCTTGAACTCCTGGGCTCAAGCAATCCTCCTGCCTCAGCCTCCCAAATAGCCTGGACTTAGATGCACACTACTGTGCCTGGCTAAGTTTTTTCTATTTTTATTAGAGACAGGGTCTCACTCTTTCTTGTTCAGGCTTGTCTCAAATTCCTGAGCTCAAGCAATCCTCCTGCCTTGGCTTCCCAGAATGCTAGGATTACAAGTGTGAGCCTCTGTGCCCAGCCTGGACATGTTTTTTATCTTCCTAGACCCTTGGTTCTCCTTTTCTGAGAATTGGGACTAGTCTTGAGATTGTGGATGACAGCCTTCATCCCACCTGGGCTGTTTACGTGTACGGCCATATGTGTCAAAGCTGAGCATAGACTTGGCAGCCAAACAGTGCTCAGCAGACAGGGACCATGCTGCCTGTCTAGAAGTGCTTTAGCCCATCACCCATTTCAGATACTCATCCATTGAGTCACCTGACCTCACCTCAGACACCTAAACTGTGGAACCCTCAGTTTCCCCTTCTCTAGAAGGGGAGAATCAAGTCTCACTAGCTCCTTGGGTTGCTGTGTACACAAGTAACATCACATGGGCAGGTAAGCATAACATACATATCCCTTAAGGAATAAAAGGGTATTGAAATAGTGGCAGAGCTGGTTTTCCTACAGATGTAGCAGGAGTGAGGATGGGTAGGGAGTACCCAAGTTCCTATCACTTGGCCTAGGAGATCCAGAAATGACATGCTGGCTCAGTGCCTGTGGCTCAAGCAGCTATGGTGCCAGCCACATACACCTGAGCTGGTGGGCTCAAATCCAGCCTGGGCCCGCCAAACAACAATGACGGCTGCAACCAAAAAATAGCCGGGTGTTGTGGCGGGCGCCTGTAGTCCCAGCTACTTGGGAGGCTGAGACAGGAGAATCACTTGAGCCCAGGAGTTGAAGGTTGCTTTGAGCTGTGATGCCATGGCACTCTACCCAGGGTGACAGCTTGAGGCTCTGTCTCAAAAAAAAGAAAAAAGAAATGACATGCTCCTCCATGTCACTAGTTTTCCCCAGAGCTAAGCCCTTTCCCTTGTTACAATGACTTGATCCCTTGTTTTCTACTTCAGTGTTGTTCTTTTTTTTGGTTGCAGCCATCATTGTTATTTGGCAGGCCCAGGCTGGATTCGACCCCACCACCTTAGGTGTATGTGGCTGGCGCCTTAGCCACTTGAGCCACAGGCTCTGAGCCTTCCGTGATGTTCTTGGTGGATGCCTCTTAATGGGTACAAGAAACCCCCTCAGGATCTGTGAAGGGGTGTTATGTGAAGAGATCTCCTCATGTGAATCATGAGCTGGGTTTTAGGCAGCCTGAAATCCTTATAGCTGGGAGTAGGATTTAGAGTTTGAGCCCAGGAGTCAGCAAGATCTGGCTATGGATCCTATCTCTATCCCCTGCAGCCTTTGCTTGCTTTGCAACTAATTACTCCCCTCTCTGAGTCTCATCAGTATGTGATGCAGTGCATGTCACATATACCAGCCATCAGTGCTGAAGGATCAGAGCTGATCCATAGCAGGTCTAAGAGGACAGGGCCTGGGAGGTTGTCTGTTTTCAATAATGAGAAGCTCGTCATCTTCCCTAGGGATGAGATTGCTGGATGCATCGAGAAGGCCTATGAGAAAATCCTTTTCACTGAGGCCACCCGGATCCTCTTCTTCAACACACCCAAAAAGATGACAGACTATGCCAAGAAGGTGGCTGGGGTTCAGGGCAAGGGGCTGTGGGGCCAAGTGATTCCAAGGTAGTAGTGTGGGACAGTACAAGATTTAAAGGTTTAAATTCAGCAGTGTGACTTTAGGCAGATTACCAAACCTCTCTGGGCTTCCATTTCTCTCTGTAGAATGGGCTGGAGTAATACCTGGGATGAGCTTAGCATAGCACCTGGTACTGGATGGAGGTCAGTGCTTTACATACATTGGCTGGTGTCCTTACCAAAAGTGACAGCTTTTTCTGCAAGACTTTATTTTCTTGGTCTGGGGTGTTGGAACAGGAGTGGTGCCCCTAAAGATGTTGATACATGGCATTCAGTGACTCTATGGAGGCAGACTCCAAGAGGCAGGAGGACCAAGAAGAGTCTATGGAAGAGGCGAAATTGAGTTGGAGTGATGGTGACAGCTGTTGCTGATCACTCACTCCAGGTCAAACATGATTCTCAGTGCTTTAGAGGGGTTCTTTGAATCTGCACAGCAAACCCAGGGAAGTGTATAATTAGGGTCCATATCTCAAACATGGAGAAACTGAGGCACAGAGAGGTGAAGTTGCTTGCTTAGAGTTGTTTGGGTAGAATAGGGTTAGTGAGGAAAGAGCATGGCACATGTAGGTAAGTGCTGGTTCTATGGGGCGGGGGCAGCCTTTGTGATAACTCACTCATCTCTCATCCTTCCCTTCCTGCAGCGAGGGTGGGTCCTTGGCCCCCACAACTACTACAGTTTTGCCAGCCAGCAGCAGAAACCAGAAGACACCACCATTCCCTCTACAGAACTGGCCAAACAGGTCATTGAGTATGCCCGGCAGCTGGAGATGATCGTCTGAGTCCGCCAGGCACTGGGGTGGGGCAGGGCATGCCTTCTTTAAAACACAGTACTGGGTTTCCTCCAATAAAGGTGGATTGACATTCTTGTTCTAGGCCTTGTCTCCCCAGCTGGGGTGGTGAGGGGACAAGTTCAAATAACACCTTCCGCGTCAGCCTCTGTCCAGAGGCCTTTGCTCAGGGTCTCAAACACAGGTGCCCACTGTAGGGCACAGCAGCACTGTGGACACATGGGAATTCTGGGCTAGTACACCAATGAAGGTGGTACAGGGTCTTGTTTTTAAAAAATCTTGGCAGTTTTTTTTGAGACAGAACCTCAAGCTGTCCCCCTGGATAGAGTACTATGGCTTCACTGCTCACAGCAACCTCCAACTCCTGGGCTCAAGCGAGTCTCCTGCCTCCGCCTCCCAAGTAGCTGGGACCACAGGAGCCCACCACAACCCCTGGCTGTTTTTTGGTGGCAGCCGTCATTGTTGTTTGACGGGCCCGGGCTGGATTCCAACCCGCCACCTTAGGTGTATGTGGCTGGTGCCTTAGCCGCTTGAGCCACAGGCGCCAAGCCTTGGCAGTGCATTAAATAATTACTAAAATGACTTGTGAAATGGGAGACATCTGTGGGGTACCCTTTAGAGCCCTCTGTGAATGAGAGGTATGGTTCCTGGCATGCGCTTGCCCCGGTTCCCACCCTTCCTCAGCCAGCTCTTTGACTTAGGACCTCCCCCACACCCAGTCTCAGCTTATGTTTCCTGCCTTGAAGTTCTTGGGAAAGACTTTAAGGCATAGAGCCCTTTATGGGGTGAGATTTTCAAAAAAGTTCCAGAGTCAGTTTTCCCAATTGTAAAATGAGAATGATATCTTTACAAAGTGGTTTGTGCTGAACCTTTGAGTTTAGCACGGGGTCAGCTTAGATTGGAGCTTATAGTATTGAGAATGAGATCACCCCACTGTTAGGACCTTCAGTCTAGACGCTGGTGAATGGAACCTCACTTGCTGTTCTGGGTTCATCCTCCTATCTCTCCCAGCATGTGGTTTTCTCCTGAAGACCTCTGCCTTGCCCCACCCAACCCCTTCAACTCTCAGCAGGTGACTACAGGCTGCTAGGCATCTGGGTTAGTTTTTATTGGCATGAAGGGTAAAGTGGAGGGTGTTGTGCAGACAACTCAGTTGGAAGGAGTGGCCTGCAAGTCGTAGTGCTCCAGCCCAGCTACCAGGGAGCCAGCTAGCTTGATGGTGGCGACCCAGGGTGGCTCACTCAGGTGGTTGGTAGGTGTGCTCAGCCTGGAGGGAAGGTAGAGTTAGTAGGGCCTGGACACAAAGCCAGGCCCTTGCCCCTCTAGGGCTTCACTTTCCCATCTGAATAAAGAGGCCATGTCTGAATATCCCAAAGGCAATTGAGGACAGGAGTGATCTGCTTAGTCTTAGGAAAGTGAGGGCTGAAGGTTGGTGATAGTATCCCAGCTGAACCCCCAAGAGGTCCAGGGCAGAGTTGCCCAGGTGTCCTCAGGGTCCAGGGTCAGGAACTGGTGACCAGATCAAGTGGTTCAGTGTCTGTGTGTGTGGGGGGGGTGGGTCAATGGGTAGCTGGAGGGCACAGTGTCTTCCCCTGGATGTGGGAACTCTGCAGCACAAGAGCTGGGACATCAGTGCCCTCTGGTGGTCACAGCCTTGGGTCCCAGAGTCAGGAGAAATTGCCAAAGGTGGGAGGAGTTAGGAATCAGGGAAAGGGCTTTCTCTACATCTCCGAGAAGTTTACCCCCCATTTGGTTCCAGGAAGATATCTCCTTCCCTCTGATCCCTGAAGAGCTTGGGACGTGTCCTCAGGGTAGGGTCAAGGCAGTGTACCCAGGATCAGGCCAGCTGATACCAGCTTCCCTCCTTGATGACTCCAGGGAGTGACAAAGGGCCCAGGGTCAACTTGGGGGTGCGGATACCAAAGGTCTGGGCCAAAGCGTCCCGTCTCTTGTTAGGAGTCAATATGGGATCAAGGCTTCTGGTCCTGGAGCCTTGGATGGGAACTCAGGTTTGAGATGTGGCCAAGAGAAAGGCTGAGGGTCAGGACGCCAAAGAGCTGTATAGGACTCTAGCCAGTAAAGGCTGGGTTTCAGAACTTCGAGGGGTATTCCCTCCCCTCCCTTTCTCTGACCTCCCCTCACCAGGCAGAAACGTTGCGTGGCAGGCGGCGATGGCCTGGCTGGTGGCGGCAGTAACATTTGCAGGGACAAGAGTTAAGCACCTGGAAGGGTGGCCAGTGGCGCGCAGCGCTGGTGTTAGTTGCCCCGGCCAGGGGTGCCCCGTTGATACCACTCCCTCTACTGCCGCTGTCAGTCGTGGTAGCTGTAGTTCCTTCACGGGGACCATCTCCCGGCACTCCATCTTCGCGGGTCACGCCCCGGGCCGCGCGAGTAGCCTTGTTTCTACGTGTGCGGGCCTTGATAGGCGCAGGCGCCGGCGCGGGCAGCGATGGCTCAGCAGCCGAGGGAATTGAAGCCGGGGCTGGGGTCTGGTCCGCAGCCAAGGCGGGGAGTAGAGCGGGGGCGGGGGCAGGAGCCAAGGCTGGCTCCACGTGGCCAAGGCCTGGGGTGGGCGGGAGCGCCACCGGCAGCGGCGCTAGCTGGAGTGGGGGCGGTTGTGGCGTGGGCGGCGGCGCGGGCGGTGGTGTGGGTGGCGGTGTGGGAGGCGGCGGCGGGGGTAAATCCTGCAGGCCCGGAGGCCCGGGGCGCACAGGCTCGCCATTTGTGGGCGCGGGGAAGATGAACATAGGTGGAGCCAGCAGGGCAGGTGCGGGCCTCCGAGGCCCGGGAGCTGAGTGCATCTGCCCTGGTGGTGACGGAGGGGAGCCCCAGGGCCCTGAGAACGCTGCTGCGCGCCGTCGGGGCGCCCCAACGCCTCCGCCAGCCCCGTTGAAGCGAAAGTGGCGTTCAGGGCCGTCGGTAGGGCTCACCCAGTCGAACTTAGGCTTTGAACCTGGGAAGGTGGTGTACGGTGGCGGCGGTAGGGCTCGGGCGTGGGACGGGGGCGCTGAAGGGGCACTAGAACACCCTTCGCTGTCTCCATCACCGCCCTCGGTTTCCTGTACCACCCGAGGGACCTCTCCCAGGGGGCGAGGGGCTCCAGGAGCCAGGGGCCCTTGCTTCAGGACCTCAGCATAAGAGATGGCACCGGAGGCAGCGAAGAGTCCTCCGCCTCCTCCTCCGCAGCCCCCGAGCGAGGCTTTGGCCTCTAAGGAACCTGAGGCTGCCGTAGAGGGAAGGGGAGGCCCGGACTTGAAGGTGACTTTACATAGTAGGCTCAGGCCGGACTCGGAAGCCGCAGGCCGGGGCATTTCGCCTTCGCCTGACTGGGGAGACGTCCCTCCTCGAACCCCACTGGCGGCCTGACCCTCGCTGCTACGCCCAACTTGGTTTTCTGTGGGGGTTGCGGCTGGTGTGGCTAGAGCAGGAGCGATTTTGCGGTCCGAGGGCTGCCAGTTTGAAGGTGGCGGTGGTGGCGGCTTCCGCGGCTCCAAGGGCGGTGGAGAAGAGTGTGGGACCCTTGGGACAGGGTCCTTTTCGGTTAGCTGGCGGGGCGGTGGCGGCAGCGGGCGGAGGCTCGGAGGGTCGCCCTGGCCTCGATGGCTCGCCTCTAGCAGGCCGCGGATCCGGGGCACTGGAGTGCCCATAGGTTTTCTCCACTTAGACGGCGCGGGCAACAGGGTCCCCACGGGGGGAGGGGGTGGTGGCGAGACCGCAGCGGCAGCCACCTCCTCCGGAGGAGGCGTCACTGGAGAGGGCAGTTCTAAGGTCAGGGGCAGGGGCGAGGGTGCGGCCTGGGGCTCCGGGGGTACCAGGAGTCCCGGGGGCGCGGAGCTGCCAGGGAACCAGACGCCCAGCCCGCGAGCCAGGCGCATGGCTGGGGAGGAAAGGGTCACCTCAGGCTCCACCAGGGGTGTCCGTCGGGAGTCGGAGGCGCGGTCAGAGGCCTGCTCTTTTCGGGAGCCCCCGCCCGCGGACGGCTCCGACTGCACGTTCCCCATTTCTGACAGAGGTCGGGGACTGTGATCAGAAAACCTTCAGCCAGTCAGTCTGCCAGGCTGTGGGGATCCCATAAGGCTGGCTGTACTTGGTCTTACTGGTTCGACGGGCCCCTCCCCTCACTGTTCTCCAAGATCTGCTCAAGCCCTAGTCCCTAGACTCTCATCATTCACACTTTCTTCCCCATGACCCACCACAGCTATTGTTGGGATGCTTGGGTCCCAACCCCTTATTGTACTAAGGTTCTACCCTTGACTGGCTCCTCAGATCACATCCCTACACTTTGGCCGTGTCCCAAGTTTCCAGGCTCCAAAATTCATCTTGCTTGCCTTCTTGTTGGTCTCTCAGGCCATATCACTAGCGATAGTTGTGCCCAGTAGCCTACAAGGCCTACAAGAAGTTCAAGTTTTCTCCCAGCACAAGGCTCCAAAGACCTAGGCCACGCCCCTATTTCTGGTCCCGCCTCCGATTGTCGGGGAATTGGGCCTCATCCAAACTCTCAACCCACCTCCGATAGAGTCTCTCCTCTGCCTAACAAATACCAGGTATTCTCGTCCTATTAATACTAATCCTTCAGCCCTCACCTCTAACCCTTTGATGCACACTTCTTACTCTGTTGATATTTGGGTCCCGCTCTCTTCCTAGGCAGCGTCAGATCCTTGAGCCTCACTCCTAAATTTCTTTTCCCGCTCCTGGTGTATTAGCAGGTTTCAACACTCTGGCTCCACCCCTTTCCCCAACCACCACTCTGGCTCCTCCCCTCAGAGGACCCCACTTACCGACTCCTCCAGCCCACCAAAGTTGAGACCGCGGCCCCCTGGGCCCAGGGCAGGGCGGGGAACGGCTGTAGCAGAAAATAACCGAAAAGAACGAGGGTGCGGGTGAAGGCAAGTGGGCGAGACAGCGAGCGAGGACCCCGAGACCTAGGCCCCGCCCTCTAGCTCTAGGCCCCGCCCCTTTGAGCCCGCTAGAGTGGAACCTGGCTCCCCCCTTTGAAATACTCGGTGTCTTTCCCCGCCCTAAGGCTGTCTAGTATTAAACTCCACCCCTTTAGAGTGTTCTCTTTAGCCCCTCCCCTTCAGAATGCCCCGCCCTCTGTTAGTCCCTCTCAAGGCCCCGCCCATTACGGACCCTGCTACGTAGCTCATCCCTTTTGAACCTCTCATCTGCCACACCCCTAAAGCAATTTATCGCTAAGCTTCTTCTTTTTAAGACCTGGCAACATATCTTCTCAGACTCTTATCCTTCCTCCAGCCTGCCGAGAAAGCCCATCCACCCGCCCTTTCCATGACGCATGCCACTTGTCCACGCCTTCAGCATCTAAACCTCCGCACTCAGGCCCTCCGACCCCGCCCCCTTCTGAAGGCTCCCTTCTCGCCCCACCCCTTTTCGAACCCTGCCAGGCACCCAGCCCCTCCCATTTAGAACCCAAAGCGTAGACCACCGCCTCTTTAGAACCCTGAGACCTGTCCTTGTTCCTGTCCCCCCCCCTTGTCATCAGGGATCAATGGCTCAAATGGGTGGAAAAGTGGGGAATACTCTCTGGATCTTAAGCAAATGGGGGTTGGGGGGCTGTTCGCTGGAGCGAGTGCCGGGCTCTAGGACCCAGCGGGCAAGTACGCCCGCCTCACTCTTACCCCTCCCCCAAGCCGCCCCCTCCCCCTCTACCCGTCCTCCAGGTTCCCCCTCCCTCCCCCCTCGCCCGGGCTCCCGGTGCCGGTCTCCAGCGCCGCCGGAGCCAGCGAGGGAGCCGGAACGAACAGGAGGAGGAGGAGGCCGCGTCGCCGCCGCTCGGAGCCCGGCCGGAGCCTCCCAGGCAGGTGCCAAGGGGGGCGAGGGGGCGGGGGCTGACAGACCGCCTGCACTGATGAGGGGGCGGTCAGGATAGCGCTGCGCTTTCTGCCCACCCGGGCGCCTCCTCGGACCCCGGCTGGGAGGACAAGGGAGTGGGGACCCCCAAACTGCGTGGCAGCCATTTGGGGTACCAGTCTCCATTTGGGGGGCCTGGACTTCCTCTGAGGACTCCTCATTCACAAAATTCCGTACTGGACCCCCATCATTGAGGAACTCTGAGGACCACTCCCCCCGCGGAACATAGGTGTGCAGGGAGCGTAGGGCACCCTGAAACCCCGGTGCCCCATTTCAGCTAGGCCCTGGAAGGACCCCTGCCCTCTTTCCCTGCTTCACCTGTTGTCGGGGGAGGCGGGCGGACAAAGGAAGCAAAGCGTCACGTGACTGCTCATTCACAAAATCCCATCCCATTGAGTAAAGGGGGCTGGGGGCGTTGCGGCTTCCCCTTCCCCTCCCGAAGGGCAGGGGAAACCCGGCTGCTTGCAGGTGGGGGAGGGGGCTAGAGCTCGCCTGGGTCCCGAAGGTTGGGACGTCAGGGTTCTCCTGCTGGGTGGCAGTGAGGGGCTAGACGCTGATCCCGATTAGTGGGTGGAGGGCTACGTCCCCTGAGATGGGGGGCGGGGTAAAATGGCTCAGAAGGATGCTGGAGCTCTGGGAGGGAGGGATCAATCTCCCTCCACCCCATCTCGCCCCCTTGGCTTCCTTCGGCTGGGGCCTGAGGGAACAGGCTTGATTTTTGTGAATGAAACGCTCTTTGGATGTGCCTTCGGTCGCCCTTCCTGACTTCCTCTGCCTCCATCTCCCTCTCGGCCTCTCTTTCTGGCCATTTCTGGTTCTCTCCCCGTTCCCTGCCTATCTCCCGTTGCTGGGTGACTCAGTGAGCTTTGCATCCGGTCTCATTCATAAATCCGGGAAGGGGTGGGGGGAAAAGAGCCTGGGTTTCTCACCCAGCCTGTGGCCTGGACTACAGGGTGCGGAGGCAGTGTTGGAAGAACTGGAGCTGAGTTGATGGGCCCAGAGAAAATACATATGCGCAGGCACCCAGCTGTGAGGGGGAACGCTGGGTGGGGCCGTGGGTATGTGCTGAGAGGGAAGGAGACAGGGTTGATAGGGGATGCACAGGAGGGGGAGGGGAAGTGGAAAACCAAGGCTATGGGGTTGGAGATGGAAAGATGAGGGCAAAGTGGGTATGGAGAGAAAATGTAGATGAGGGGAAGAAAGTAGACCTGGGGGAAAAGAGATGGCATGAGGAAGAAAGGAGCTGTGAGGGAAGAAAGTGGACATGGGGGAAAAGGTGTGCATTGGTAGCTTAGGGTGCATTGGATCCAAATGTCAGTAATAAAGATGGAGCAAGATGAGGGTTGGGGAAACATTCAATAGGAGAGCAGGATTTGAGTTCACTGACTGTGTCGTCCCTGTTGCACCCCCCTTCAGGTACATGGTGCGGGTCCGAGCTGTGGTGATGGCCCGAGATGACTCCAGTGGGGGCTGGCTGCCTGTGGGGGGCGGGGGCCTCAGCCAGGTGAGCGTATGTCGGGTCCGAGGGGCCAGGCCCGAGGGGGGGGCCCGCCAGGGGCACTACGTCATCCACGGGGAGCGCCTCCGGGACCAGAAAGTGAGCCACCCTGGGACATTGGGGTAGGGTGGGGCCCTGGGGAGGCAGAGGAAGGGGACTGGGCATGCAGAGGAGAGGTCAGGTTGTCTCCTAGCCTGGAAATCAAACTGGGGTGTGGGATGGAGTTTGGAAGTGGATATCTGTCTGATGCATAAGAGTTGGGAATTTCAGGAATATTCGAGATATTAAGCAGGTTCTGTCCACTGCAGTCTCCCGCTAGACTATCTGAGCAACTTCCTTACTGGGCCCCCTGCCCTGCTTCTGCTGCTCCCCTAAAGCCCCAGCCTGTTCCCCAGGGGCACTGCTAACACCTGACTCAGATCATTTCCTTCCTTTGCTCAGAACCTTCCCTGGGCTCCATCTTGCTCAGAGATCCTCACCTCTGAGGCCCTTTACTAGCTGGCCCCTGTCTACCCTAAGTATATGGAAGCATTTGTTGGGGGTCCATTTGGAAGTGTCATTGTAGTTGACAGTTCTATATGTGGGTTCATCAGGACTAACGGGGATGTTTGAATTTCAGCCGGGGATGTACTGGAAAGATTTGATTGTTTAAAAAGGCTTGGGGGAAGGGTTGCATTTCAGAGCAGGAGTTGGTAGAATGATGTGGGGGGGATTTGAAATGATGAGAAGGAATCTAGTGCTAGGCAAGGATAAGAGGGAACATCCAGGCTGTGGACTATCAACTGAGAGGGAGTCCATGCACATTTACTATGAATATTTTGGGTAAAATTTCAGGAGATTATTGGGGCATCACATGGGGATTAACAGTAATATTTTGAGATGTTCAATAAAGTTTGGGGGTACTATCAATTCAGATAGTTATTGAAAAGGGGGATATTGGCTTGGCGCCTATAGCTCAACCAGCTAAGGCGCCAGCCACATACACCTAAGGTGGCGGGTTCGAATCCCCAGCCTGGACCCGCCAAACAACAATGACAGCTGCAACCAAAAAATAGCTGGGCGTTGTGGCGGGCGCCTGTGGTCCCAGCTACTTGGGAGGCGGAGGCAGGAGACTCGCTTGAGCCCAGGAGTTGGAGGTTGCTGTGAGCTGTAATGCCACGGCACTCTACCCAGGGGGACAGCTTGAGGCTCTGTCTCAAAAAAAAAAAGAAAGAAAGGGGGGATATTTTTGAGGCATTCCATAAGATTTGAGTTTCTGACTAGAATATCAGAAGGAGCATATTAAAAAATATAGGAATCAAGGAATCAATTGGGAAAAATATTGGTGTATCAGAGGTATGCTTAATAAAATTGGAGAGTTGTCCTGGGTGTTGATCAAGGTTCAGGGATATACCTAGGGTTGGGAAATGAGGTTTGTGCGATGCCAGGGTAGGAAGAGGGGTTAGGGCTAGAAGGGAAGTCATAGGCATGGCTGGATAAAGGTGTCTGACTCTGCCCCCTCCTGCCCCTTAGACGACCTTGGAGTGTACCCTAAGGCCAGGCTTGGTTTACAACAAGGTCAACCCCATCTTCCACCATTGGAGCCTGGGTGACTGCAAGTTTGGGCTGACGTTTCAGAGTCCTGCAGAGGCCGATGAGTTCCAGAAGAGCCTGCTGGCTGCGCTGGCCACACTGGGTCGAGGTGAGCAGCATAGGTTGTGGCACTGGGGGCTATGGGGTGGGGGAAGGATAAGCTGAGTCCAGGGAACTCACTCTGTGCCTTTCTCTCTGCCCCAGGCTCACTTACCCCCTCCTCTTCCTCCTCCTCCTCCTCCCCTTCCCAGGACACCGCAGAGACCCCCTGCCCTCTAACGGTGAGTCTCCAAGATGGCTCTCTGCTGGGAGGGCAAGGGTTTTGTTCCTATTCTACAAACATTTTTAAGCACCTACCATGTAGCAGGTACCATGCCACATGCTGGGGACACAAAATTGAGCCCAGACTATTAATGTTGATTCAATCTCACTCTAGTTTTTCTGTCCTGCCCTGATTCACACACATTCATTCCAGGTACTTACTGAACACCTTCTGTGTAGCAGGCAGTGTTTTAGGCATCCAGGACATATGAATGAACAAAATCTCCCTTTTCTCGTGGAGCTTCCATTCTAATGTGGAAAGATGAAAATTAAAAAACAAACAAATGAAAAAAGATAAGTGATAAAAATGAATAAATATTTTTTTTTTTTGAGACGGAGCCTCAAGCTGGCCCCCTGGGTAGAGTGCCATGGCATCACGCTCACAGCAACCTCCAACTCCTGGGCTCAAGCGAGTCTCCTGCCTCAGCCTCCCAAGTAGCTGGGACCACAGGCGCCCGCCACAACGCCCGGCCATTTTTTGGTTGCAGCCATCATTGTTGCTTGGCGGGCCCGGGCTGGGGATTCGAACCCGCCACCGTAGGTGTATGTGGCTGGCTCCTTAGCCGCTTGAGCCACAGGCGCCGAGCCAAAAATGAATAAATATTAAAAGTAAATGTATGCACAAGTTAGTGACAATTCTATTTACTCAGGCTACAAACCTTGGGGTCATCTTTGACTCATCTTATTTTTTTTATGTTTCTTATCTAATCTTTCAGCCAGTCAATATTGGCTCTACTTTCAAAATGATCACAAGCTGCTTCTAACCTGGTATTGTCCAATCTCACCTCCCCCTGGAATGTCTCAACAGCTTCTCATTGTCAGTTTCCTCCGTCCTGTCCCCCTAGTGTCTTCCTCACCCATAGCCAGGGGGACCCTATTGATGAGTGAATCAGGTCATGCCCCTCCTCCACTTAGAACTCTCCCAGGGCTCCAGTTCACTCAGGATAAAGGACAAAGTCCTTACAGTGGCACATAAGGTCCCATGCCATCTGGCCCGGTGTTAATCTCCTGCTCACTCACTCTGCTCCAGCCACATTGCCTTCCTCTCTCTTACTCCAACAGGGCAGCCACATCCTGTCTGAGGACCTTTGCACTGTCTGTTGTCTGGAACATTCTTCCCCAATTTCCATATGGTTCATCTCCTTATTTCTTTCAGGGCTTTACACAAATATCACCTTCTTAGTGAGGCTGTCTATGGGTAATTTATGTAAAATTGCAATCTCTCAATGCTCCTTGTCCAGTTCTATTTTTTTCTTTGTCTTCTCAGATATTTTTCTCATTTCCTTTCTGAAAAGACAACTTTCTTATCTCTTAGTTTACTGTCCATCTTCTATGCTAGAATGTCAGCTCCAGGAAGGCAAGGATGTTTTGTTGGTTTCTTGCTGCAACTCCAGTGCCTGAAACAGTGCCTGACACACACACAGTAAGGATACAGTAAATATGTGTTGAATAACTTGAATGAATGAATGCACATCATGTTGGATCCTGTTTGGCACTTGCTGGCAACAGTGGGAGTTGCTGAGAACATCTGAAGGAACAAAACTGATTTTCTAGGCAGAAAGAGGGGAAATTCCAGGGTAATGGGAGATGGATGGAGGCCACAACAGTTCCACAGACAGTTCTCATCTACTGAGCCCTTACTTAGGAAAGATGCTTTGCTTTCCATGCTTCATCTTGAACAATGGTCTGGCTTGTCATGGGTCTTCAATGAATGTATATTGATGATGGGGAAAAGATGAGGTAGTTACAAAAGGAAACTAAAAGGGAAAGGAAAGGAAACTAAGGGTCTGGAGAAGTGATGCTTCAGCTCATTTCAGGACAGAACTTGGTTTGCATAGGAAGGAGAGGACTCCAGGTGGTGGAACTGTCCCCAGTCAAAGTGTGGTGGTGGGCACCAAGCAAGGAGGCGGCTGGCTGGCCCAAGGGAGAGGGGTTCTGGGAAGGAAGAAGATGATTTCATATTCTGTAGGTTGGTGAGCTGAGCAGGTAAGAGGGATCTCATAATGATAACAGTAACCATTCCTAGCTCCTCTGTACTTCTGGCATGTGCTATGCCCTTTAAAGTAAGGCCTAATGACATCCTCATGAATAAGTACTGTTATGATCCCCATTTTACAGAGAAGACAGGCTCAAAGAGGTGAACTCACTGGCCAGAGGTCACACAACCTGTCAATGGCACATCTGGGTTTGAACCCAGGCCTGCCTGGCCACAGAGCCCTTGCTGTCAATGGGAGGGGGTCTGTGTGAGGGCTTCGGCTGGGGGAAGGACGGGTCCCTGCACTGAGGCCGCTAATCTCCCCCAGTCTCACGTGGACAGCGACTCCTCCTCCAATCACAGCCGCCAGGAGACGCCTCCCACCGCCACCGCCCCCATTATCACGATGGAGTCGGCTTCTGGTTTCGGACCCGCCACGTCGCCGCAGCGCCGCCGCTCCTCCGCTCAGGTTCGACCTCTGCCCCCTAGCGGAAGTCTGGTTTCGGGATGGAAAGGGGCTGGGCGCTGGGGTCCTAAAGGGGATGGGAGGGCCTGTGGGGGGCCAGAAACACAGATCCCAGGGGATGGCTGACCTAACTACTCAGCTGGGAAGGAGGGGGAAAGAGATGAGGATGTGTGGTGGGGAACTAGGAAGAGTCTTGGAAGCCTGGGTTTCTCGGAGCGTTGTGTTCCCTGCGCTCTTGGAGAATTACGGAGTTCTGAATTCCAGAGGGGTTTGGGGGACGATTTGGACAATTGTCCGAGTATATTAGAAGATGCTGGTACCCATGGGAGTAGTCCTGCACACTGTTTAATTAATTCATGGGGGTGGGAGTGCGGAGTGGAAAGGCTCAGTGCCTAAGGGTATGAAAGGAACCCAGGAACCAGACTGGGGTTCAGAACTCCTAGATCTGAAGATAGGGACTCTTGGATCTTGAGTGAAGACTTGGAGCCTTAAGCCTCTGGGTCCTTAAGGTGTGGGATAGAGGACAGATCCTTGGTCTTCTGAGACTGGCATGGATTCTGGTGGGTGGTGAGTGAGTCACAGACACCTGCTAAACTGGTCTCCTTGTCCTTTCGTCCCCCAGACCTACCCTCCTCTTCTACCGTTCACGGGGATTCCGGACCCCTCAGAAGCCCTGGCTGGGGCAGGGGGCCCGGGCTGGGGCGGCCGCGGGTATGAGGATTACCGACGCTCTGGGCCTACCGCGCCCCTCGCCTTGTCGACCTGCGTCGTGCGCTTCGCCAAGACGGGCTCGTTAAGGGGTGCAGCCTTGGGGTCTCCAGCGGCACCACCTGCCCCTCTGACAGATGCTGCGCCTCCAGCGCCCCCAGCTCGCCCACCCCCCGGGCCTGGCCCCGCCCCTGCGCCGGCCAAGGCCTCCCCGGAGGCGGAGGAGGCGGCGCGCTGCGTTCATTGCCGTGCGCTGTTTCGCCGCCGAGCTGACGGGCGTGGCGGCCGCTGTGCAGAGGCCCCGGACCCGGGTCGTATATTGGTGCGCCGTCTCAGCTGCCTGTGGTGTGCCGAGAGCTTACTCTACCACTGCCTGTCGGACGCCGAGGGTGACTTCTCGGACCCATGCGCCTGTGAGCCCGGCCACCCGCGCCCCGCAGCGCGCTGGGCCGCGCTGGCCGTGCTCTCCCTGGCGGTGCCCTGCCTCTGCTGCTACGCGCCCCTGCGCGCGTGCCACTGGGTCGCGGCGCGATGTGGCTGCGCCGGCTGCGGAGGTCGCCACGAGGAGGCTGCACGGTGAGGACAGCCTGGTGGGTCCCGTAGCCAGATCGAGGACCCAAAATTGAGGGTCCAGGACTCCTGTCTCCATTCGGACCTAAAACCCAAACCTAGGCACATCTGGAACTTGGAGTTAGCGTTTGGATTGAAAGATCCCAGACCTGGAATCTGGATCCCAAACCTAGGACTGAGAGACCCCACACCCAGCTTCACTGGGATTATCCGAGAGGTCCTAGGCATCCTGAGTTCTGGCGTTCCCCATCCCCCCCACCTGGAAGGACGCCCCAGGCATTCCCAGACTCTGCACCTCAGTAGAACCAGGAGCATACAGTTTCCTGAGAGACGCAGAGCCTTGAAGCCTAATTTCATGTTCAAATTACCAACTCAGATCATGGTCATGCCTGGCACTATGATCCTCAGATTACAGCCCCAGAATTAGGAGTTGCCAATACCTAACCCTGCCTGATACAATTACTCTCAGATCTTGAGACTGTAGGACCCAGAATTACCCCCAAATGGTCCCTGAATGTTCTTAGACCTGGTACACCCACATCTGAGATGTTTTTGTAGCCCCAGGAATTGAGACACCAAACCCTCCTGGGCTTGAGATTCCATTATGTTCTAGATTGCCAGATACTGGCCCCAAGTCTATCCACTACTGAGTGCCCATAGACACCGCCCACCCCCGCCAAAACCTGGCCTCAGATTCAGGAACACTGAGATATAAAATGTCTAGGTAACTCTCAAATGCTGTGAGACCCCAGACTCAAGATGCACTGAGCCCTTGGATATGCTCAAACATGAGATAATCTCTGACCAAAATGACGTGGGAGACTCATGCTAGAGCCCCCCAGATACAGATATCAGACACCAAGATACTCTAGGAGCCAGGGATCAAATAACTCAGTAGACTCACCAATCCCAAGACAGTCTTCTCAGGAGCTTTGGATTTCATATTTAGGACTTGGAGGTGCCTGGTGCTTCAGATGTATGACTGAAGGCCACCAACACCTCAGGGCCCAAGATACTGGTCTCAAGTCTTCAAAGGGCCCTCTTCCAGTCCCATTTGGACTTGGATTTTGAGACCCAAACGTCTTGGAATCTTCAGCTTCCTTCTACCCACAGAACCCCTATTCCCTGAAGTCTGGGGGTTCAGCTCTCAGAAGATGGGATGGCCATGGCAACCCAGACCTCTGGCCCCATGGCCCTCAGCCCTTGAATGACCCTAAGGTGCACTGTACTCAAGATCCCAAGGTGCCATCCATCCCCAAGATGCAGGGCTCAAGCCCCCACAATGTTGGAATTGTTACTGATCCAAGACCTTAGTCCTTCCATAGCAGAGACATTCAGATTTGAGGTGCCACAGAACCCTAGCACTCTCAGACCCCAGATTTCTTTGACTCAAACTACTCTATCCCTGATTCTCCAGGCTACTTGTGTGTATCCTGAGACCAGCTGTCCCTTGAATCCTGGTGTCTGTTGGCCCCTGAGACCCCAAGGTCCCTGACTCTCAAATTCTGGTTCCCAGGATCCCAGCCCAAGCCTCTCAGCAATCCTCAGAATTACCCCTTTATCCACTATTTTGAACTCATATTCTTGGATTTTAGACCACCCTTGAGCTCCCCCACTCTAGGGCCCAGCATTGCCACAGATGATTGTGTGTGCTGTTCACTAAGCAAAGGCAACAGCCCAGGTGTTGAGTGAGGCTGGAACTCACATTGCAGTCTGCTGGCCCAGTGGGGCCCTCAGTAGGAGGGTGCACAACCCCACCTAGTTATGGCTCTGTTGGGACCCCCTCCCCCAATGCCCAGTCTTCCAAACCTCTATGTCCAACCTTGAGCCCAACCCCCACCCCACCCCCAGGCCCTCCTTTTATATTCTGCCTCTCTTTCAACTCCTTCCCTTCCATCTCAAAGTGGGAAGTTGTTTGCGAAAGTTTGACATCCTGTTTCATGGCCCTGTGGGACTTTTCATCGGGGCATGCCACTTTTCATCTGGGATGCCACACTTTTCCCTAAGTGGAATGGGACTTCCAGTGTAACTAAGATCTGGTGTCCTGTATGGGGTGGGAGCTTCAAGGTCTTGGAGCAAGACAGTCTCAATGTTTGGACTTGGGACCTGCATCTGGCCTCATTTGGAAACAGTGCACTTTCCTTTCCTCATCACCCAGACTTGGATGGCTTTGTAGGGGTTCAATGGATAGGTTCTCTGTCACTTCCTTTAAATTATTAACTATTTATTACATCCGGAACCTGTGAGATTCAGCTCTCCCAACCAGACCCTGGGATGGGTGAGAGAAAAGGGGGTGGGATATCCCTCCCATCCCCACTCTGCCCAGCTCTCATCACTGTCAGACCCATCAGAGCTGAGGGCGGAGGGACTAGGGGCTGGGGCAGCCTGGGTCCCCCTCCCCTTCTCTGTGCCTCGTTCTCCCCCCTTCCGTGGTGGGGGGGAAGCTCCATTCTTAACCTACCTCGTTTTGGGGAGGGGTGGGACGGGGGGGGCAGAGTGCTGTAAGGTGCTGTGGGACTGCAGATGAAGCGGTGGGGACCGGGGAAAGGTTCCCTAAGCCACCACCTCCCAGCAGCGCCTCTCCCAGGTCTCCTAGTCCTGCTCCCTGCTGGTACCCACCTCTGATCCATGATTACCCTTCATTGCCCCCCAACTCAGGGGTGCATTGTGGGCTGACCCTGGGAACCAGGAAGACCTCAGACCCTGGAGCCCCCAGGCCCAATTTCCCAGCTGCTTGCCCCTCGGATTGGATGCTTGGCCCCCAGACTTGGGGGAGGCACCCCAATATTTATCTTCCTGATTTGATTCCAAGTCAGTCTGTGACTTCAATATTGTCCATGTCAGTACAGGCTGAAGTGGTGGGGGAGAATGGGGGCCAAAGATCCAGCCTTGTCATTGGGGGAGGGGGCATGACATCTGCTCCAAGAAATGTCTGTGACAAAGTCTCAGCCTGTGTTATTTATTTGCAGTGGCGTGCCCCATCTACTCACTTTTTGAACTGCCAAACCAGACTCCTGCCTAAATCCTCCTTTCCCTCCACATCCTTTAGTCCCAGGCAGACCCTCTAAGTTTTATAGTCCCCCAACAAGCACATTTATTTAACACCCATAATGTAGGCCAGGCTGGGAGGCTGAGGTGGGTAGACTGTTTGAGCTTGAGTTCAAAACCAGCTTGAGCAAGAGTGGGGCCCTGTCTCTACTAAACATAAAAAAACTAGCCAGGCATTGTGGTGGACACCTGTAGCCCCAGCTACTCCAGAGGCTGAGGCATGAGGATTGCTGAAGGCCAAGAGTTTGAGGTCACAGCACTCAGCAGAGTGAGACTGTCTGAAAACAAACAAACAACCCCCCAAAACAAACACCCATAATGTGCCAAGCCCTGTTTTAGGCACTGGGGTAAATTAGTGAGAAGAACAGATAAAAATCCCTTTCCACAAAGAGCTTATGAGTTTTGTAGTGGGGGAGACAATAAGCCAATGACTTAATATGCTAGAAATGATATAAACTATAAAGAAAAAATAAAGTGGGAATGGGATGGTCAGATTAAGACTTACACAGGAGTTGAACAGAGGCCTGAAGGAAGGAGGGAGTCCCATGAATGTCAGCAGGGAAGAACATGCCAAGTAAAGGAACAGCCAGTGCAAGGCCCTGAGGCAGAAGTGTCCGGTAAATCTGAGGAACACTGGGGAAGATTGAGTGTCCAGCAGGAGAAAGGAAGGAGCGTACTAGGAGATGATGGCAGATCTGTGGGGCCTTGCAAGCCATTGTATGGACTTTGGTTTTTACCCCAAGTGAGATGGAGCCACTGGTAGGACCCAAGTATAGAAGGGATGTGAGCTGATTCATATTTCTTTGCTAATGTGAGCAACAGACAGATGGGGTGGGAGCAGGCTGAGGGTGAGGAGGCTGCTGTGATTGTCCATGGCAAGACAGTCGTGGACAGGACCAGAGTGAGGGCAGCGGAGTGGGAGAGAAGTGGGCAGATACTGGATCTATTTTGAAGGTAGAGTGTACATATTTCTATGTGAGTTCCATGTAATCAGAGAAGTCAAGGTTATAAGTCCAACTTTTTGGCCTGAACAATTTTTTAAAAAAATGTAGCTCCCAACAGTTGTTGACCCTGAGTAATTTTAAATGTTTTATTGAGGTCATAAAATGGTTCCCTGAGTGCCCTGCCTTCCAGTAAGCAGGACTATGGAAACACTAGATTAAAGGCAGGCAGAGCCCCCAAGGAACAAATTCTGGAGCCTATTTTTCCTTGAGGCTCTCAGTCTAGGAAGAGATTAGATCTGGAACATTTGTTAACAACAGCAACAAAAGCAGTAGCAGTAATAAGAGCAGAAATGGGTTTAGTGCTTAAAGAGCATGGAATCTGGAATTAGACCTTTGAGTCTTGGCACCACTACTCTGTGACTTATCCACTTTGAACCTCAGTTTTCTTCTCTGTAAAATGGGGATAGGATTCCTAGACTAATAGCACACATTAAATGCTTAACATGCTAGTTGGGCATCGTGGAAAGTGCATGTAGTCCCAGCTACTCAGGAGGCTGAGGCAGGAGGATCTCCTGAGCCCAAGAGTTTAAGGCTGCTGTGACCCATGATGCCACAGCACTCTACCCAGGGCTACAGACTGAGACTCTGTCTCAAAAAAAAAAAAAAAAGCTTAATATATTAGTTGTTATTCTTAATTGAGTACTCCCTATATGTCTAAGCACTTTTTGCATACAAAGATTTTAATCCTCACAACTCTTAAGACGTAGGTACTATTATCCCAATTATACAGATGGGAAACAATTTGGCAGGAACACAGCTGGTGAGTAGGGGGAGCCAAACCCTAACCCTTGTTTGCCTGACTGCTAGGGCGCAATCTCTTAATAATTATGGTGTATTGTACCTGCTCACTCCAAGGCCTCGGAAGGGAGAGGCCTGAAGCCCTAACGGGCACAATGTACTCAAGAAGGGCCTAGCTCTGGTGGGGGATGGGTGAAAGAGATGAGCCGGGATTCCCGGGTACCCTGAACACAATCCCAACCCTGTGACAGAAAAAAGAAAGCGAATTTCTGGATTTAGAGCGGAGTTTGGTGAACAACACTTGGTCTCAGGTGTTTTAAAAGCAGAAGGCATGCGATCCTGAAGGCCAAGCAGATAGATTGCTGGAGCTCACAAGTTCCAGACCAGCCTGATCAAGAGCGAGACCCCATGTCTAAAAAGAAAATAGCCGGGAGGGCATAGTGGCAGGTGCCTGTAGTCCCAGCTATTCGGGAGACTGAGGCGAGAGGATTGTTTGAGTTCCAAGAGTTTGAGGTTGCCGTGAGCTATGACGTCATAGCATCTAGTGAGGGTGACGAAGTGAGACTGTCTCAAAAAAAAAAAAGGCAACTGAGAGAGGCTGAAGAAAAGGGAACTTAAATTGGTTTTATGCCACAGTAGCGACCCTCGATAGCTTGTCTGTGACAGCAGGAACCTGAGTGTGCGCTCTGAAATTTACAGGACCAGGGGGTGTTCCCAGAGCCCAGACAGGTTAACCGAAGGGTGGTGTTAGCGGGCCGGGGGCGGGCTCTGCTTCAGCCAGTGCCAATTGGAGCGCGGGAAGCCTCTTCGCGAGAGAGGCTGATTGGTCGGTGTCTCTACACTACACAGCCAAGGTACGGGTGCGCGCGGCGCTCCAGAGGCGGAGTCCGCCAGCGGCCGGCAGGGGGCGCGCACCCGGCGCAGAGGCGACGCTTTCATGGAGGGGGCGGAAGCGGGAGCGCGGGAGGGGGCCGCCGTGGCCCGGGACCTGCTGGCCTTGGGGTAAGAGGGTGTGTGGTGTGGTTGGTGGGTGCAGGAAGGGCAAGTTTGCCCTCAGAACGCGGAGGGAGAGGGATTCCAGCTGACCTACCCGACCCCTCCCACTGCCTCGACCCCGCCGCAGGTATGCGGGTTTCCCCGGGGCGGTGTCGCGGGGCACCTCGTGCCCAGACTTCAGGGCTCTCTGCGCGCGGCTAGCGGCAGAGCTGGCGACTCTGGGCGCCCTGGAGCAGCAGCGAAAGAAGGGCGCCGAGGTGCTTAGCGCCGGCAACGGTACGTATGGGGCAGGAGGGGTGGAGTTGCAGGCTCCGCCGCGCCCTGACGCCCCGCCTGCCGCAGGCCCAGACGCAGAGGAGAAATTTCTGCGACAGTTGGCTGGCCTGCTGCGGGAGTTACACTGCCCGGATCGCGCGCTCAGTGACGGAGACTGCGCGGTTGCGCTACGGAAGCCGGACGCGGGCCTGCGCCTGCTGCGTGAGCCCGGGGTGGGGGGCGGCTGCGCTACTTAAGTGGGCGAGGCTATGGCCATTAGAGAGGGTAGAGTATTGTGGGAGAGCCAAGGTTCCCAGGTGGGCGGAGTCGGAATTTTAGGGCAGGCTTACGGCTGAGATGGGCGGGGTCAGAATTTTTCTGGGAAGCTCAATTGGTTTGGGTTAGGAGGCAGTCAGGTGAGCGGGAGTTGCATTCTGAGGAGGGGACAGAATGTCGAGGTGGGGCTTATTCTGAAGGTGGAGCCGGGGTTCTAGGTGAGCCGGAATAGAAGGTGGAGGTTTTGGTGGATAGAGGAACAGCCCTTGATTGCACCACTCCCTTTTCCTACTTTTAGGTTTTCTGTGCTCGGAGCTCCAGGCTGCCCGCCTTTTGCGCCTGCACTCCTCACGGGATCCCAGCCCTGTGCCTTCCCCTGGGGAAGGGACAGAGGAAACAGCTGGCATCTTCCGGGAACTGAACCTTACCCTCCAAGCCCTGGGGCTGCCCAGACCTACACCGGGGACCACTGCTAGCCAACTACTGCAGGAGCTGCATGCTAAGGTAAAGGGTTAGAGCCCCTTCCCGACCCGGGCTACACCAATGTCCTAGGAAGGGGTGGGGGAAGTATCCTGTCTCCAAAGGAGCCTGGCAGGAATGCCCCAACCCCTGGCATGTTTTTCTATGAGAGCGCCATTCTTTTTTCCCATTGCCTGGTCCTGAGGGTGGAGGAGAACTGGAGTCCACAGGGAACTGGAGTCCATGGAGGAGTCCATCCTGTTTCTGCCCCAGTTAGCCTCTGACTTCTTCTCCCATCAGATCTCAGAAGTGCTGCCTTCCTTACCACCAGGGTCCATGCAGCCTCTCCTCAGCTATTTGCTAGATGCACCCAGATGGGTAAGACTGTGTGTGGCTGTTTGTGAACAGTGTCCTCATCCAGAGATGGGAGTGAGAGGGACTGCTGGCATGACAAAGACTTTTTCTCCCAGGAAGCATTGGAGTCTCTGTCCCAAAGGCTGAAAGATCAGTACTACTGCCGCCGCTGCCTTCTTCTCAAGCGCCTTGACCTTACAACATCTGCTTTCCACTGGAGCGATCGGGCAGAGGTGTGGGCAAAGGACCTTGGCAGGAGCAGCAAGGGCCAGTTGTGGGGGCTGCAGCTTCGGGAGAGAAGGAATAATGGTCAGAAATATCACACTCTTGGAGGTTCTTAGACATAGGCAATTTTACAGTTGTGTGAGTTTGGGGGCTTCTAGGATCTCAGGGCTCTCAGAGTGTGGAGAATCTCCAGCTCTGAGCTGGGAGTGTCTTCACAGCCACACCCCTTCTTTAGAGATGTAGGCATTGAGCCTCTGAGTGGGGAAGAGATGGTTCCAAGATGAGAGATCTTACTTGAGGAGGAGGTCTCTTGGGCACCTTCTCCATGCTACCCCTCCCCCCACCAGGCTCAAGGAGAGGCCATGAGGGCAGTGCTGATCCCAATTCAAGAGATTCTGACCCCAGAATCAGATGTCTCCATTGCACATGTCCTGGCTGCCCGAGCTGACCTGTCTCGTCTTGTCCCAGCTACCAGCATGGCTGCCCGCCAAGGGACCTGCTGTGCTATCAACAAGGTGGGCACCTGGGGTGAGGAAGGGCCCTGACATCCTTGGCCTTCAAATTGGCCCTTCAGCCTTTGCCCCCATCCAAGCTTGTCCTCTCCCACTTGGGTTCCTGACCTTTGGACTCAACCACCTCTAATCTACCCACTTGACATGGCAGCTAGAAGGAACTTGTTCACACAGAAATTTAACCTTGAACTCCTAGTTCAAAATCCTTCCATGCTTCCCCAGTGATTTGGAAACAAAATCCAGCTATTTACTGAGCCCTTGCCCTCTTCTCCAGCTTAAGACCTTCCCCACTACCTCACCGTATCTATTATATTGTTTGTTTTGAAACCATTTAAAAAAACAGAAATACTGGGCGGCACCTGTGGCTCAGTAAGTAGGGCGCCAGCCCCATACACCAAAGGTGGCAGGTTCAAACCTGACCCCAGCCAAACTGCAACAAAAAATAGCCAGGTGTTGTGGCGGGTGCCTGTGGTCCCAGCAGCTTGGGAGGCTGAGGCAGGAGAATCGCCTAAGCCCAGGAGTTGGAGGTTGCTGTGAGCTGTGTGATGCCTTGACACTCTACCAAGGGCAATAAAGTGAGACTCTGTCTCTACAAAAAAAAAAAAAAACCTTATGTTTAAATGATTAGGTTTCTAGCCTCATACCTCTCTGAGTAGTCATATACTTCTATGAGTGAGTATGAGGGAATAAAATTTAGCACAGCAAAGAGAAAGGCAAAATTTAAGAAAGAAGATACTTGCTTTAAGGAAATATAGGATGAAAAAAAGGAAATATAGTATGGAACTAATATAGGTGATTCCCAAATGATGGCTATTTAGGAAAAAACACTGGTTTGCAGGAAATGGTCAAAGCCCCATATATAAAAAAGAAGTTGGGGCACTCTCATTAATGCTGGTTGGGCACTTGAACCTCTGCCATCACCCTGCTCTTTATTTCCCTCTTGCTGAGGTCCCTGGAACCCAAGTTTGAAAACTTCATGCTTGTATCTTCCACCAGTCCAATCCCCTCTCCCCCAGCCACTGTACCCAAATAGCCAACATCTGCCCTTCCTTCTCCAACCTCATGCTGGTCTCTTTGCTTTCTGGCCCCCTTGTCCAAGATCTTTTTTTCCTTCTAAAATACAAGTCTAATCAACTCTCAGGTGCTTATGGGCAATGTGCCAGATCGGGGGGGCCGCCCAAATGAGCTGGAGGCTCCCATGCCCACCTGGCGAGACCGAAGAGAAGATGGAGGTAGGCAGAAGACAGGTCGCCAGTATCGGGGCCACAAGAAGAAGAAGAAGTGAAGTGGGACTGCTGGCAGGGGTGGGGTAGGGAGGTTCTTCCATTAGATGCTGATGCCATTGGTAATCGCTGGGGAGTTAGATTGAAGCTTTCCCTTGGGACCTAGCACCCAAGCCAGGTGGGGTGAGAGCCATCCCCTGTTCCTGAGGTTCCTAATGTCCTAGGTCCATCTACCATTCAATACCAAGAACTATGTTTTTTGGAAAATAAATTTAATTTATGACAGTGGTAGGACCTATCTCTGTGGGGCCAGGTTGGGGTGCTTGGGTTGGGGGTGCTCTGCTCCATGAGTCTGGACAGGCCCCTGCTGCTCTGGCCTACAAAGTCCTTTGCTCTTCAAAAACATCTGTCCCTTCCTGTGGGTGTGGGGAAGGGTACATTCAGGTACTGAACAAACGTTTTTCAGGTGTCCTCACATGCCAGTTCTGTTCTAGGTACCAGGGACACAGCAGGGAAAAACAGGTAGAGAGCCGCCATTCTGGAACTGACATTCCTGATGAGGAAAAGCGGAAATTGAAAAAGGGGACTGAGTAACATGTCTAGTTTTTCAGATGGGGTAAGTTCTGTGGAGAAAAAGCAGGGAGAGGCAGGATTGGGACTGAGGGGAGATTGGATCTTTGAGTGTGCTCAGGGAACCCTCACTGAAAAGGGGCCACATGAGCAAAATCCCGAAGAGAGAACCATGTGGGCCTCAGGAAGAGTATACCAGGCAGAGGGAACAGCCAGTGCAGAGGCCCTGAGGTAGGAGTGTTTTCAGGTGTATTCTGGAACCATCAAGGGCATTGTAGCTGAAGCAGGGCAGGTTGGGAGGTGAGGTGATGTCAGGTTGGAGTATGGATCATGTGGGGCTTTGTGGGCCATAGTGAGGACTCTGGCTTTTATCTTTAGGGAAAGAAGGGCTGTGATCTAACTTAGGTGTTCGTAGGCTCCTCTTTCATCCCCTTCCCAGCCTTATCTCCCTTCTCTAGAAGCCCAGAGTGTGGAATTCGTCCTTGTCTGCTCTGGACCCAGGTTGATGGTCAGTATAGCATACTGGTCAGGAGCTTCAGTTTTAGCTGACAGATGACCTAGGTTTGAGTCCTGCCTCCAACCCTGGGGATCTCTGCCACCTTGGGCCAAAAGCTTAACCTCACCAAGCCTGATTCTCCTTATAATTGAAATAGAAGTTTAGGGAGTTGGTGAGATGATCCCTGAGTCTAAATATAACCAACAGAGCTGCACAGATGCTAAGTGCAGGAAAAGGGAAGTATGATTAGTACCCACTATGATGGAAGAGAAGAAAATAACTTTCAGGGTAAGAGATGATGGTATCTTCTCAAAAACAGTGAACAGGTAGCGAGCAGTGCCTTTGGGGGTCCTGCTGGAGGCTGAGGGCAGGACTTGGGACTGACTAGGGGAAGGCAGAGAGGAGACTGAGATGATGTCTAAGAATCCAGCTTGGAGGACGAGGTGGCTGGTGGGGCCTTCTCTGGGCAGGGGACCTAGAAGGGAGGAAGATGGGTGATTCAGGGAACATACGGTATCAAGGAGACATTTCACCACCAGGAACACTGCCTCACCCAGAGTAGTAAATGGATGAATCAGTGTCCCCTGTGGACTCAATTTTTAATCCAATGTGAGAGTCTCTGGTCTTGAATAGCAGAATTTATTCCACTGGTATTTATTGTAGCTCCTGATATATTTGGCCATATGGTTGCTATCTTATTGGCTTTTTTCTCCCTAAATCCTTTTCTCTTTTTCTTTTTCTTTCTTTTTTTTTTTTTTTTTTTTGAGACAGAGCCTCAAG